TGTCTATTGATTAAAAAAATTAATTAGAATAATTTATTAAATTATAAATTAATGTTATTAATTATATTACTTTGCGAATTAATTTTTTTAGATTTAGATGAACTACTTGATGTTTTAGATTTTGATTTAGACGATTCAGTTATTCGCATCAATTTTTCATATTCATCTTTACTGACAGCTGCTTTAAAATTTAAACAGTTTTGAAAATGTGGTCGAAGTCTGTCTTTTTTATTAACACATTGTGTATTTTCTATTGCATATGTTTTACCATGTTTTTGTTCACACCATTTACAAATTGCATAAACAGTTTTTGAGTTTGGAGCATGAATAATTTTAATATGAGGAGTAAAGGGATGTGGAGGCTTCCCGCCATAATGAGACCGCTTCATAGTATTGAATTATTCTAAACATTAACATGAACGTTTGCACATTAATTATATAAATTCTATAGATCATTATTATACAATTTAGTATAAATTATGTACATACCTTTTTGAGTAATTCATTTAACAAATTTTCTCACAAGCTAATATTATACGTACAAGTCATAATCATATTAAGTAATTATTAACCTGTATTTAAAACTAGATTTGGTACGTATAAAAATCTAGTTATTGCAACTCTGAATCCTGAAGGTATCAATCTAATGCTACAAAATAAAATAACGATGATGATAAGAATTTAGATAAGTGTAATTTAATATATACTTGTTTAGAAGGTATGATATAATTGTTATTAACGCCAACATAAAACATTGAGAAGCTTGTCAACGAAGTGACGAAGCGATCATTATTGCGAGATCAGATGACTTTACGGTAGATCATATACAAGTGTATGTGGTTTTTATTTTTGTATGTACGTATCTTGTTTGGATTCAGGAATTTTAGGAGTCATACTGGTTAACTGTTACAGTCACGAGAGAGACTTTAGATCTTCGTAGCCAATTTAGCAAAGGACCGTAATCATTAACAAGAAAAGAACTAACTGATTTATTAACACAAAAGGCACCAGAAAGTACGAACAAATATTCTAACGTTGTGTCCCAGACACTCTTTCAATACTATTAACCCTTATTTCCTTAGCTACTTAGCAAGTTCCAAACTTCTAAGAGCACAACACAAACACAACTGAAAGACAAAAATCTACTAAAACAAAGTACCACTCAAAAACTAACTCTACCTACAAACGTTCTATATGTCTATATTTATACATAGAATTAAACTACAAATTGACTATTTAC